TGTAACGTGTTTACGTTACAGAATACGCCGTAGAGATCGTTAACTGGTTTATTGAACAATCTACAACTAACGGCTATAATTAATGATCACAATATCACGGGTTTCCACACTTTACAAACCCTACAACAAAATCTCTTAACACAGTCTTCACTTATCTTCACGTACTAATAACGTGGGAGCTATACAAGTCTCCCTGAAATACACACTCTGAGTATAACCGTACTACAGCAATCACTATGTCTGGAAAGCACACAACAAGTCTTCCGCTCGCTGACTTCTTAGTTATCGCACACTCGCAGGCTGCTATGTTTCAACTGATGATCACACTGCTGTGGGTCCGCTTATATAGCCTTGCGCTGTTGCTAGTGTGACGTGGCGGGTAGCATAGGACGCTGTTGCTAGCGTGACGTCACCGCTGTTGATTAGCATTGCGTAGTTGCCAGGTTACGGGGCTCGGCTATCTTCGGCTCCGCTCGTGACGTCACCGCGCGTTGCGCATTGCGGGGTGATTACTCGCCTATTACCGCGAGCGTTACGTTACCGCTGAGGGGTGGGAGGGGAGCGCTGACTTACCCACCGCGTCACTGCTGGTATGGGGGGGGGCCTCAGATTTCGCAACATGTCACAATATGTAATGTTCATGCGGACATATTATATACAAAATGGCTGATGTGGTGTTTGGAGGCCCGTTGTTATGCTTTGTGGTTTTATTTAATATTTGATACTATTTGACGGGCCACTCTGTTGTCTAAGTATTATAGTTGCAATAGTTGCAATTAGTTGCAATATCTCTCCATCAGACTGGGGATTTACACAGTGGAGTCGCCCGTCAAATAATATCAAATATTAAATAATAACATACAATATAACAACGGGCCTCCGAACACCACATCAGCCATTGTGTATATAATATGTCTGCATGAACATTACGTATATTACAATTATAACTGCCAACTTCCAAATACCATCACATATACAACTTTTAATAATACTTTTGACTATGTAACTGGTTATTTTAAGACTAACTTTTTTGTAATTTATGTTTTATATTCACTTTTATCATTTGATACCACTGTATACACTTGGAAGTTTAGCACTGTATCCTATATTTGACATGCAATTCAATAACGAAAAGTTTAATGTATATGCCTGATGATTTCTGTTTGAATGCCAAAACATGTAGCAAAAGTATCTCCTAGAGCTGCTTACATGTATGATTATTGACTGTTGTGTTGTGACATTTTTCAGTAAGAAATTAATATATTGTGACATGGACGGCGCAACAGGAAGTAGGGGCCTCGTGAACTCTGTGTTTCTGTGAGTGGCATCGCATACCCCCACTCCTTCCATCATTATGCAACACTCAGTAAACACCCCTCACCGCTAGGCTGTGACATCACGCAGCAGGGGAGGCCATGCAGCGACTATTGCTAGGCAGTGCGTAGGTAGAAACACCGGACGACAATACCTGATATCTGTTGCCGAGCAGCAATGTGTTCTCTATATTGTTCATGCCAAGCCTAAATAAGGAGCGGCGAACGTTATTCAGGAGGATTGAGTATTGAGTTACAAGAGTTACTAGTATGGAGGATTGAGTATTCAGTATGATTTGAAGTACAGCAGCTGTGAGTTGTTATTGAGATGTATTGAGTGAATGGATTCAAGACAGTTGAACCCAGGAAGTAATTGTGAATTGTGTAAGAGTGAATGTGGAATAAATTCACTAGATCAAAAACGGCATGAAGTTATTTGTCGTGTTACATACCCAGCACATGACAATATGGTACACAACAGGATTCATTCACTGAAAATTATACATCTTTTGTTTGTCCCTAACTATTACTATTGTGGTATGGCAGATGCTATTACTGTACCTCTTCAAGATAACAAAACATGAAAGAAATGTGCTGATGTAAGGGAATGATTTCAAAGCTCAAAATCCTATGTAAGGCAAGATTCATGTCTGAGTTAGAGACTTTAGGGATCTTACATTCTTAACAGATATAAAAACAAGTAGTGTTTTCATGATTGATGGGTTTGTGTTTGCCTCTACAGATTACTCGAGCTGATGTGGAGGTTCAGCCATATGCATTCACAACAAAGGCATTATATGTAGGCCACACAGACTATAAGTACCTACGCTGGCAGGTCATTGATACACCTGGAATCCTGGACCACCCACTAGAGGATCGTAATGTAATTGAGATGCAGGCTGTGACAGCACTGGCTCACCTGCGTGCTGCTGTGCTGTATGTGATGGACCTCTCTGAGCAGTGTGATCATACCCTTGAAGATCAGGTACAGCCACATACTGTGTGAGCAGTCTTAACATGAATATGAATAAAAAACAGTGCCAACTGCATTACTTTTTATCTGGTTTAAATAATAATGAAATTTGCTGCATGTTTATAAATGTAAGGATTTTTTTAGTAAAAGTGAATGGGAGTGCATCAGTTCACACTGAAAATAAGTAAAAAGTTACTTTATGGCTGGTGGTTTCCTGCCATTCAGTTTGTCTTGGCGCCAAGCGCAATTTTTATTTGAGAGTGGTGTACGTTTAGGAAAGTATGGTATTTTCATTTATAGCATGATGGTGGGTAGCCTGTGGGACCAACAGTATTATACAGATGTCTTTACTTTTGGTTCATCTTCTATTTACTGATATCAATGAAGTACTGTAGGTGCGACTTTGTTTTGTTAACTTATTTCATTTTCAACAGAGCTTAGCTGTGCATACGAGTGACTTTCTTTTTCTTTGTACAAGAATGAATCCATTTCAAGAACTGGAAGGTAAATGTTCTTTACACTTTTTAGTAACAGCCACAGTGAATTTTATCACCTTATATTGATTAAGATATTAACCTTAATGTACGGACTTTTAAATTGCCGGGAGCCCTCTGTGGCTGGTATTTAAATCACCCTAATTAATCAACATTGATCAACATTGCAAACTTTCAGAAAAAATACATTTTTTCCGTTCTATGCAACGTAGAAATACGAACTAAAAACAACCTGAAAGACAATAAAATTGTCTACATATACACAAAAGAGCAGTTTTTACAAACGAAAATTAACTATGATTATTTTTTCATGAAATGAAGAATATAATCTTTGTTATATGTGTTATGAAATTCCAAAGGACTTACCTGTTGTTTTTTCTTCAACCTTGAATCATGGTGATATTGTAAATATAATCACACTATATACAGTGATATTGAACTGTATCACTTCACTGTTTATGATACTCACACACTCTGATGCGCATGAAACTTCTCGAAGCAGTCCACCTCACACAGAGCAACATCACACTTTTTACAATAGAAGAGCGTCCTCCTGCTTTTGTTATTCAGTGAAACACACGTCTTTGTTTCCCTTTGGTTGGCCAATTTTATGAATGTTTCACCTCCATTCGACTCAGTTGGGCCCCAGATAACCTTGTCCTACCCTGAGAAACGCCACTGACCATGATATTTGCCTTGTGTGATTGACGCATCATCTTTGGGGTGGGGGTTTCCAGCAAAATCGAATAAATTATGTTGATTGACAAAGCGACACACTCACCTCTTAGTACAAGGTAGTTCAGATATGACCGGGACTGATTTAAAAAAAAACCCATAATTGCCAAACACTTACTTGCACATGTCAGTCTTCAATTTACTCCCCTCCAGAGTCAACACATTCTTTCCAACGTTCTGGAAGCATCCTGATGCCCTTTTCAAAAAGGCTTGTTGTCGGTGGCGTATCCACTCCCGAACAGTCTGGATGACGGCGTCCACAAACTGCGTGCCTTGCAAGTCTGATTTGAGCCTTCCGAACAGGTAGAAATCACTTGGGGCCAAATTGGAACTGTAAGGCGGATGTGTCAGAAGGTTCTATTTCAATTTCAGGAGGGTTTCCATTGTTGTTTTGGCCATATGGGGGTGTGCGTTGTTTTGAAGGAAGGCTACCCGCTTTCCACATGTCTTCCGCTTGGAACGGATCTTTTCCTTCATGTCTGTTGCCAGGAGGTCTGGGTAATAAGCTGCACTGACTGTTCTGGCATCTGTTAGAAAGTCTACATGGATAACCCCGTGCCAGTCCCAGAAGAATGTTGCCATCACTTTTCCTGCCAAAAAGCTCCTCTGCTCTCTCTTGGGTTTGGGAGAACTGGTATGCTGCCAATTGCGTGATGACTTCTGGGACTCGGGAAAGAAGTAGTGCACCCACGTGTCATTGGTGGTCACTGTAGACTTCAAAAATGCATCACCTTCATCTTCAAACTGCTGTAGGAGATGACTGGCAGCTTGCGTGCACACCATTTTGTTCATGTCCGTCAAAGTGTGTGATACCCACCGTGCATTCACCTTGTGATAGTGCAGGTGGTATTTCACAATGTCTTCTATGCTACCAACACTGATGGACAGCATTGCTCCAAGTTCCTTGATAGTGATGCGCCTATTCTCACGAATAAGCGCGTCTGCATGATCAGTGTTTGGCTCGGTGATGGACGTTCGTCGCCGACAATCATGCGGTTCATTCTCCACGTGCTTTCTGCACTCTCTGAAGCACTTACACCACCCAAATACATGGGTCCGCGAGAGGCACTCTTCCCCATACTGTTATTGGAGTCTGGGGTGCATTTCAGCGGACAGGACGTTTTCTCCAACGAGGAATTTGATCACAATGCATTGTTCCACGCTCCGCGGTACCCTCTTCGCTTATCACTCTAACTACTCCCGGACAGGACTGAACTGGTTCTAACCCGGACAGGAGGGAGGGTGGAGATTGTGGCTTCACTCTCTCAAGGTTGCACAGCTGCTGCGCAGTGCGGCTTGTTTACACACAAATCAGTCCCGGTCATATTTGAACCACCTTGTAATACTCGCAAATTGTGATGCACAGTAATTATAATACTAGTCAAAAAGAGTGCCAGTCTGACACTGATACCGAAAATCACAGTGACGAAGATGCCTTTTACTCACAAAGTAATACTGGCTCAGTAGGTTTAAACCTCTTCCAAGACACAGAATAAAAATGATATACAAAGAAATATATGACAGTCTGACACTGACTTTTAACTGATAAAGAAATATAAGGCAGTCCGACACTGACTTCCTAACAGGTAATTCACCACTGAAAACCAATCCTTGCATGCATCACACTTCGTTATAGGCTCTGGAAGCACTCATCTGCAAGCACCGATGAATATTTCCTCATCGAAACAAAGCTGGGCTATATTTGGCTGACAAGGTCATAAACGGTCAAATCTAAACGTAAATAGTATCGAAACCAGTACCCTGATAACGATTTCATTGTTCAGAGCTAACAAGTGACCCTCTGACATGACCTTGCGTGGGTTTGTTTTGGTTTCAAACCCAAGATCAAACTGTCAGCACTCCCAAAGAGAGCACGTGTCCTGCTGCATATATATATAAAACATTTGGCCAACATGGGGTGCTGCTTGCTGCATATATATAATATTTGGCTGTTAAAGGTTAATACTGTTGTAATATGTCAGATGCTATGCCACCCTCACAACTGAAATGTGAGATGTAACAGTTCAGAAATAGAACTGTATGGCCCTCACTCATTACTGAACTGTTGGAAAAAAAATGTTATAAAGTAAAAAAGCTGTGTAGGATTTTGTGCTTGGTGTCACATAATGGCTGTTATATTGTATTGGGAATTTCCTTTGCAGGTGAAGCTGTTTGAGAGCATCAAGCCCCTCTTTGTGAACAAGGTGAGCAATGCCATAGACTGATGGAGATGAATTGGGCCACTTTATTCATCAGAGACCAGTACAAATTAAGCCTTACTTTCATTCAGTAACTAATTCTACTTGATAAGACCTGTGGTACTATGGTGAAATAGATGGTGCAATCCAAAAGTTCCCGAAATATATTAATAAAAACTATTACATCTTACCTAGATCTTATTGTGCACCATCACCTTCAAAGTAGTCCCCTTGGGAGCGCATACACCGATCCCAGCATTTCTTCCACTTTTCAAATGCATCCTGGAAGTCTTTCTTTGTTAGGGTGTTTAGTACCGTCTGCGTTTCCGCTTGAATTTCCTCAACTGTATCAAATCTTCACCCCTCCAACTTGATTTTCATCTTGGGGAAGAGAAAGACATCGCATGGAGCTAAGTCTGGCGAGTACAGTGGGTGGGGAACAACTGCCATCTTGTTTTTAGCCAAAAATTCCTGCACAATGTAAGCTGTATGCGGTCGTGCGTTGTCATGGTGGAGTACCCAGTTGTTCATGTGCCACTTCTCTGGACGTTTTCTCCTCATGTCCTCCCTCAAACGCTTTAGAACATCGCGATAGAACTCTCTATAGACTGACTGACCAGGAGGGATGAACTCCTTATGAACAATCCCATCAGTATCAAAAAAACAGATCAACATGGACTTAATGTTGCTCTTGACTCATTGAGCTTTTTTTGGCCGAGGTGAAGAAGGGCTCTTCCATTGCGACGATTGCTGCTTGCTTTCAGGGTTGTAGCCCCATAAACCCAACTTTCGTCACCAGTGACAGCCTTCAAAAGAAAGTTTAGCTGTTGCTGAAGTTCCCAGCAGACTTCCAAGCAATGCTGCTTCTGTTCATTTTGCAGCAGTCGTGGCACAAACTTCGTCGCAATCCTCGCCATGTTCAGTTCCTCTGACAAAATTCGTTGACATGTACCTTAACTTAGTCCCAAGGTGTTACAGAGGTCTTGGATGGTTAGTCTACGATCTTGCAGAATCAGATCCCTAACTTCTGTGACATTTTCTGGTGTTTTGCCCGTTGACGGCCGTCCCGAACGATCGTCATCTTCAATCAGTGTTCGGCCATTTTTAAAATGCTTATACCAGTTGTAAGTTTGCGTCTGGCCTAATCTGTTTTCACCAAAAGCTTGCTTCAACACATGTTGCGTTTCTCCAGCGGTTTTCCCAAGTTTGAAACAAAACTTTATACAGACATGCTGCTCTCTCAGGTCAGCCATCGCAAAACCACAAACTCACGGAAACACAACAATGGAAATACGTTCACCAACAATAAACCCAACCACTCAACTCGACGCCGCTTGCCACACTGATTCAAGAAGGATGTGTGAGAAAACATCTACCGGTATTTCGATGTACTCATAACCATTCGCACGCAAAATTCAAATTTCGGAAACTTTTGGATTGCCCCACGTAATTCATGATCTAGGGGTTTCCTTTGTCTGAAACTCAAGTTTTATGATCCTGATTCAACTGTAACTATTGATTTTCTGCAATTTAGTGTTAATATTTATTCTCCCCAGACGGTACTGTATGTGTTTATATATTGAGAAGGCATGAATCACACATAAATGTCATTCTGGGTTAAAGTATGTGTGCATATGCATGTGCATTTATGTTTGGTCACTCATGTGTGTCCAATGACAGACTAAAAAGCAGAGAAATTACAAAAATCACAAGGGTTTCATGTAGACATAAAGAAATGCACTACATTAGCTCCTGCCTTCTTTTCACATATGAACCGCGAGCAGTTCTGCGAAAAACTAATTGCCTACTTCCCTTTGCTGCGACACAAGTTGCATAGAGAATGCTGCATCCAACAGTTCCTTTATTGTTGTGTGTGTATTTGTTGCTGTGGTAATGTTTTAACAAGGCATTTCTTAGCAACAATAAGGGGCTACACGTACAGACTCAGACTGATGGGAGGGATTAATGAATTATGCTGTTGAGATGGGCTCAGGTGCTGTGATATATGAAGTTTCATGAAGATTGGTTCAGGCGTTCAAAAGTTGATGGGAGGTGGGAAATGGATACCCAGACACACAGCATGGTGATCTCATAAGCCTACTTTTATTTTTTCAGAATAAGGAAATTAGTCTAAAATGTGCATCTCTGGGCAGGAAATATTCAATTTTGAGATGTCTTATGTTGCAGCCTCTGCTAGTGTTGCTGAACAAAGCAGATATATTGAAGCTGGATGAGCTGATCCCTGAAAAGCGAGCTCAGCTGGCACCCATTGAATCTGAGGACATCCCTGTTATGGAGATGAGCACAGTTACCGGGCAAGGTATCATGGAAGTTAAGCAGGAGGTAGGACCCTCTTTGCATTTATTGGCTGGAAAATCTCTATGCTTACATGATTTTTCGTTCCCTTGTAATGTCACTGGCACATATGCAATTGTCTGGCCTCGTTGTATTCTCCATGTGTTGTGTTCCTAGTGCATGTGTTGTCGTGGTGTTTGTAGAAGTAGAGTATGTCCCTTTAAATTAGACAGCATGTTTCAGTATCAGAATTTCAGAAAGTATGTCTTACATGTAAATCTTGTGATTTTATAATTTTAATTGGAAATTACAGTAAAACTTGGTTATAGCAACATCGGTTTCTGCGACACCTTGTCTATTGCGTCAAATATTCAATGGTACGAACTAATTCCTCATAAAGCAACTGTTTTTATACCTTGCTTAGTACGACATGCACAAATGCATCAACCTCGTATGTAACGTCATTTTCATTCCTGAATTTCTCTGATATCGTGGGAAAGTTCGATGTGTCTGCCCACCCTCACTTTCTCTACTTGCTGACGTGACTGTCCTGGAAGAATACGACCGCGGGCTGCAAGAGGAGCGTGGGTTTTATGCGAAAACAAGGGTGTGGGGTGGGACTGCGTGAATAGTGCAAGAGGACGCGGCAGGTTGTTAACTGCATTCCTTTCCTAGAATCTCGTCTAACAGGACCTCACATTGTCTACTTACCCTATAGTGTTCCTGCCTAAACCCAGAGAAGTGCAGTAGCGAAAACATGGCAATGAAAAGGAAAGTTTTAAGCATTGAAGAGAAAGTTAAAGTGATTCGTGAAATATTGTGTGTATTGTCAGTGAAAAGCGCTGTAATATGTCTTTGATATTACACATTTGGACAATTCCACGTTAATGTTACGTTAGTCTGTACTTAACTATGTATTTCACTAAAAAATGCAACATTTTAACTCGGTTTTTGGTAGATTTTTACGTGACTAACATAAGGCTACTGTGGAAGTGCCCATTTCGGTTACGACATTTGTTTATAACGACACTATTTTTAGGTCCCTTTGATGACGTTATAACCAAGTTCTACTGTATTTTACACATTAAAAATCAACAAGGATTTAGGCACATTTTAAAATAAAAATGGATAAATTTGTTAAATGTTATGTATGTTATAGATAGATAATATAGCAGTTTGTAATTGTTTGTGTTTAGGTAAGTTATAACCACTATACTAGTATGGTGTTAGATAAAGTTGTCCCTGTGCTTAATTAATTAAGTACAATTCGATGAAGATGTAGGGAAGATTGAAAGTATAGCTCCACCATTCTTGAATCAGCACTAGATGGAGGTGAGTGGTCAGCTTCACACCCCTGTTGCTTTATCCCAAGGGAAACAGTCTCAGGTACCCATTGGCCAAGAGATTTTGATTCCCTTCCAGGAATCAAACCCAAGCCATTCAGCCTGTGGTCTGTTTCTAAGCTGACTGAGCTATCCCAGCTCTCAGTCATCATATTGATATTGATGATGATGATGATGAAGATTGGCTATCAAGAAAGGAGCCTTCTTCTATGTAGTGAGTCATGAGCAAGTTATTCTTGAGATGTGCCCAAAAACACATTTTGGTCATCATGTGAAGTATTTGTTAACTATCATCTGATTTAACCAATAGTGAAATGTGTTGAGAAATGTTGGCATAACTCCCCAGTTTAAAATTGTATGATAGTCTGTTTAGCAGTTCTCAAGTTGTTACATGCAGTAGGATTGACTGGTAAACATGGCAAAGCTACTGCACATATTTTCATAACATTTTGATGCAAACATGCCGGTTGACATTTTTAAACATCAGTGCTGTAAATTAATGTGCATTGTTAGAATTTGAGCGTGTTGTAACAGATTTTATCTACACGTTGCCAGGCAACAGCTCTGTAAACACAGTCCAACATGCAACAGTAGATGAGGCTGTTTTTTGTATGTTGTCTGTTGCTGAGCAGTGGTGGAAAAATGGGGCTGTGCAACCTGCTTCTAGACAATGACTCGGTAAACGCATTTCTACATATTGGACCATGCTATGAAAGCGGTGATGTCATCTACAATAGAGATGGTGTTTTCCATGGCATCTGTTCAGAGTGTTTATAAGAAGTGAATGCAGAAGCAAGTTCAGTTCAGGGCAGTTACGAGTCAGTCGTAGGCTGGAGGAATGATTCAAGAAGAGTTTTTTAGTTGAATTCCAGGGGTCCATGGTGATTGAACAAGAAATGACAAGAAGACTGCTTAGTGATTTGAAGTGCTAGTTTTTGTGTTGAGATCTGATGCTTGGAGATGATTACTGTAAACTGAGAATCCTAGTGTGTGCACAACGGTGAACTTTAAATTGTGTAAATTGGCAATAGCGCTGTATGAATTGTAATTAAGAGAGATTGTAACCAAAGGCCCAATAAGTCCAATCATCCCAACTAGAACCTGTTATTTTTGTTATGCATACCACCCTACATGTGACAGTATTTGAAACGTTTTCAGATATTATGAGTACTCATCATAACCATTTTTTCGGATTTTATAAATTCTTTTTATATTGAGTTTTCCCAGTATCTGTATACATTATAACTAATGCATAATGATTTCTGTTTGATGTTTATGGAGCACATTTTATCTCGTTTCACCTGCTGTAAGCTGTTCTGATGCCAGTTTTATACATATTATCACGCGGTAGAGTGACTGTAGACGGGGTTTGAATTGGTAATTGGATTAATTGGATTCTTTAAACACAACTTATGAATACACTTTGCAAATCACTAATATGGGAAGGCTAGTGTTCTCAAGTCACAGTCTTCACTGCTCTGCTTGATAATTTCTTCCAGCAGTGGACATTCCTCTGCTTTTGGACTCATGTCCTTGCAGGCTGGTGGCCATCTCGCACCAATCTCCTACTTTTGTAACTGCTGTCTCAGGACTGTTGACTTGGACTGGCAGCTAGTCCTTGCTATATGGAATGGACCGCACAGAAAACACCGCTTCCAGCAGCTCTTCTGTTGTTGCATGCATATTTGTTGCAGCAGTCACATGACTGAGTCATGCTGAGTCATTGCTTATAAACAGGTATGTTTGCAGAGTCATTCCCTAGCAGTGGCTGTCTCTGCCAGCTTCACAGTTCTGCTTTTCAACAGACATGCCACAATATGAACCACATTTCAGGAGCATAGAATAATGTACCACTGTTGAATGTGTTGACAGGCATGTGAGAGACTTCTTGCATATAGAGTTGAGATGAAAGTGAAAACAAAGAAGGTGGATGGTGTTCTGAATCGGCTGCATGTTGCCATGCCAACACCAAGAGATGATAAAGCTCGGCCACCTTGTATACCAGGTGAGCCTTGATTTTATGATCAGAGTGCTCTTTGTACCAGTGAGAAAAAGTAATTTGTAAACTTCTGAAAANTTATATATATATATATATATATATATATATGTTATATTGGTGCATGTACTACCGTTAGTTTTGTGGTGAAGCAAGCAGTGTGGTACATGTACAGTGGCTAGATTTGAAGTGTTAATAACTGCCGACTGTATCATGGAGTGAGATGGAGGATGGAACACATCTGTGTACACTGAGAAGAAATCCACACCAAATGAATCTTGTATCATCAGATTGTTGCTGAGTCTTCCATTTGGTCTGAGAAGTCCAGAAAATTTGTAACACATGTTAAATTCCCAGTTAGAAAATGCCAAGTGCAGTCCTCAAATTTAAGAATTTTTAAAATATTCACCTGTTTACATTCAGCATCCTATGGGAGATTAATTTTTGTACAGTGTAACAGTAAATTTCATCATACCATCATTGCATCATGCAAGAATTTAAATTTGGCTGTAATTTATGGTGCATCTAGTGATCAGTTTAAACCATTAATTATCACAGACTATGAAGGTTCACCCCATAAGTAATGCTTTCATGTGGCATAGATGGATCACTATTTGCTCTTTTTTTTTTTTTTTTGTTACATTAAAAATATGAACACAGTTCTCCACTTAATCAATTGAAGCATGAAGGTCATCTAAATTATTATTACAAATTTAGTTAGAGTATGTAATGCGCCCATTACAAAGGACAACTGATTGATGCTGTGTATAAAGAAATGGTCTGTGAACAAAGTGCAGAGTTTTTTAATGTTAAAATAGGTGGTACATGCCATTAGAGGGTTAAATTGTAACTAATGTACTGGGTATTTTGAATTTCTGTATACACCTTTATCCTGGGAGATAGTGAAATGTTGTGGCAATCTTGAACAGTACTGAGCTCTCCAGGTCTGTTGAACTTTTAAAATGCTGTGCCATTCTTAACCTTTAAACGCCGGACTTCGAAATAGTGGTAAGCTTGAGCTGGCCGGAGTTTATTTAAATGTCCGCTGCTGGTGCGCGTTTAAATGCCCGTTGCTACGCTGCGTTTAAATGTCCGTTCCTGTTAGGCGCTTAATCAATTTTAAGCGTTGTGTTTAAAAATGCTCTATCTAGCTCAATTTTTATGATAAATGGATGGAAATAACTTTGTTTATTTCAGAAAAGAACATAGTGTCGCATATTATAAAGGAAGATTTGAAATTTTTAATACAAAGTGTTGTACTCTATTTTCAATTTTTTGTGTTTTAATTTTGATGCGTACTGCAAAAATGGTTTCCCAGTTCTTCACAGAGTTGTTCTGCATTATAACTTCATTTCTGTTTGTAACACTTGACAAATTTTAGCAGTCTCTGGTGTCATAAAACAGATGGAAGCAATAAAATCATTTGGTCTTCTGCTAGCGCTGCTTACACCCTTCGGATTTTCGAATACTTGACTGAAGGTCAGAAGAATGAAAGAATGGCTATTCAAGAGAAAGCTATAGGGGTCCCCTCTTCAGTGCTAAGATGTTCCGTTAGGGCTGCAAAAGCTTATTGCCCCTTCTATTTGAATGAACAGACAGCTGCATCGTGGCTGAGATACAGAGCGTGATCTCTTTTGTGTGCGTTCGTAGTGAAATCGAATACTGTAGTTTCATTTGAACCTATATATACATCAAGAAGGTAACAACAAAAAAGGTATGTACATCGAATTTTACACTATATTTTTAACATACCTATCTGCAGAATCTGCAACAAAATTACTGGATTGTGGATAAGTTTTGGCATAACTCATACGTATATTTTTATTTGCTGTTGTTCAGTAAGGTATTATTTTAATTCCTCTATTAGGGTTTTACTTAAGTCGGTCTGGTAATTACTACATTTAAAAATAAATATTCAGGACTGTGCATGCGCTTCTACTAGCGGCGTGTGCGCGCGCTTCCACTAGCGGAGTTTAAATGCCTGACTGGCCACAACTGGGTACTTTGGCCACGACGACCTTACTCATGACTGGCACAAACTGGGCACTTCGGCACTTAAAGGTTAAACGTCCGTTGTTTATAATACCTTGAGTTTTGGTAATTGATTTTAGGACCACCTTGACAAGCCCTTGTCAGCCTCGTACATTCATCAGTTCTAATATCTAGTTCATGAGGTTATCATGCTTTCTTGACCACTGATTTTATTGTCTCACCTGTTCACAACCACAGATATCAATTTTATCTTCAGTGCTTTGTGGATTCTAAGTTTGATTTTTATACAGACACAAATGACCTCAGAAGTGAACATGCTTGTAACCCCCCCTACACACACACACACACACCTGACTTCTAGAACTCACCAACATGGCCAGGAATGGTTGTAAACAGTGTGACCATTGCTGGCAGTGCTGGTTTTAGTTATAATATTTCTCACATTTCTTTCTGATTAAATAATGAACCCCAGAAATATTCTTGTCTTTGTAACTGGTATGAACTACAGAGACACCACAGTTATTTACAGAAAGTGAGACAGCACATTTATTTACAGAAAGTGTGCTAAAACGTCGCCAGGAGGCTGCAGATTGTGGAGTGAAGCGTAAGCTGGAGAAGGATTTAGAGGAGGAGATGGGAGATGACTATGTTCTAGATCTTAAGAAGAACTATGACTTGCCAGAGGATTACAAGTATGACATCATTCCTGAAATCTGGGAGGGACACAACGTAGCGGACTACATAGACCCAGACATCTTTGAGGTATCAGAACTACTATTGATCTAGGTCTCTGTATATCATGTTCCTTTTTGTCTAATTCACATGAACAGTAACCTTTCTAGTCGGGGTAACTGTAAGCCCAAGTTGGGCTGACTTGGAAAGGAGGCCTATGTCCTGTTCTTAATGTTTCTGTGGTGTCTATATTAATGTTTTTTTTAATAGACCAGTCTGGTATGTGCAGGGAATCTGAAATAAAGTAAATATAAATTTTCACCACTGTGAAAGAGAACCTTGGCTCTCATATGCAAATTCTAAACACAGTCTATTAGCATAATTTTTGGGGTTAAAGAGGCGGTTTTCTGATGTTGAGTTCAGAGATATGGTGAGGTCCCATTGTACTTTTTCAGTGTGTCATAATCTGAATGATATGTGAGTTAATGCCTTCAAACAGGAAATTAGTTATTGCATGTTGGTAATAATGGGACACGCAGTAGCGTAGTTGATTGAGGCACTATGCTACAAGCCGGAAGGTTGCGGGTTCAAGTCCCAATGAGGTCATTGGATTTTTTTTTAATTTGACTTAGTCCTTCCAGCTGCACTATGAGCGTGGGGTTGACTCAGCCTCTAACAGAAATGAGTACCAGGAATGTTCTTGGGGGTAAAGGGCAGCCAGTGCATAAGGTTGACAATCTTGCTGCCACCTACGAGCCGATTGTCTAGAACAGGCATGTCCAACTTCAAACAGGTTGTGATCGACTTCAGTGTCAAAACTGCCAGTGATCTACCACCCCCTCCTATCGTCGTACTGTGCTTTAAGCAAAAGTATTGGTAAAAATAACACGACACATGATGTTTGTCATAAAAGCAACATACATTGAAAGTACAGACTACTTTAATACGTATTTTCCCTTCAAACTCTGAATATAATCATATTATATTACAAGTGAATTTACATGCTTTTCACATATAATTTCCTTATAGGCCTATGAGGTCGACCAAAAATTGTCCTGCAATCGATGTATTGGACATGCCTGTTCTAGAAAATGTGGGAACCTCAGCATCTCACAACCCAATGGGCCTCCACAGCTTGTTACAGGGATACCTTTACTTTACTTTTTACTTTATGTTGGTAATAATAGTCACAAACACTGACCATTCTGCACTCTTGCCTATCATTTTTGCCATCTCTTGTTCTCCTTCACCGTGCTGTCATAACAGTTTTGACAGTTGTCACAGTTTTATAGATGAAATCCACATTTACAAAGCAAACTGAAAATTATCTCATTAAACACATCATAAATGTGCATTGGGTTTTTCATATTAAAGTTTAGCCTTAGAAGGACATAGATGAGCAGTCATTTTCATTATCCAGCTATTTACCCAAGTAACTATCCTTCTCATTTAGAGTTGGCTAGTTAAAAAATTTGCAATACCCCCTATGAAATTGAATTCCTTCTGTCTCTTTGATAGTTGTTCTCTTTACTGTTTTGGATGCCCTGCTAAATATATGTATCAGTTTCCCTCGAAAGAAGAACAGCTATTGCTGTGGAAATGGTATAATGCTTTATTTTTGGCTGTTTCAAACTTACTGTTGTGCAGCAGGAACTGCTGTTCTGAAATATTCAGAAACTTGCTCCTCCTTGGTAACTAGTTCCAGTATCATTTTCTTTACTTATTAGTTCCATTGAACATTTTAATACATTGAAGAATTAATTAATTATGTGATTAAAATATTTTTAAAGAATTGTGAGGTTGCTTGAAATCTTAGACCACTTGAAGACTGAATATTTGCAGATCTCTTCAACTATGATTTGATGGTAATATATTCTGGAATTGATGTTGACTTCAGATAACTGTTCCTGATATACTTCTAGCATTTGATTTATTACAGTAGCATTAGAAATCTGTATTTGGTGCTTTTCTTGTATTGGCTAAAATATTAAAAGATTTAGATAACCCCTAATGTTGTATTGTAGCATCCTATTGCACTGTATCTACTTTTTATTCATATATTCACTGTTGTAAGACTGCTTTCTTCATATATTCACTGTTGTTTCACATGCAGCTTACACTAAAAGTTTTAAAATTCAGAATTTAAGATGTTTAAACTCTGTTCTTTTTTTTCGAAGTAGTATGCCTTTTTAACATGTCTATTGCACAGCATGTTTCGGTGTATTTGGCCATCAGGTGCATTAAATAACCCGTTTGTAGATGGGCTGAAAATGTATTGAATTTTATACATTTGCTTCTAACCCATTGTCATCTTTATGTCTGCCTAAAAGGAAATCTTGTTGCGACTTTGCATAGTATTTATTTAACAATGATACAAAATTCACAGTTCAGTGTTATATTCTATTCATAAGAACTACCTGCATCACAAATGTTTCTGAACATACTGGCATCTCTGTTAGGCTCTTTATACATTTTGACAGATCTTATTCATCACAATGTTACATGTGTCTCCTTGGTGCCATTCTAATATAACTCTCTTGAATTAATGTCTTGAAGGATACTTGAAAAATAAAATTGCTTGGGTGTGGATATAAGGTGACGGAAACTATGACATGCATGTACTGTACTGCATATCAGTACACCAGTTAGGTAGCATACTTTGAAGTTACTAATACTTTGGTGTACAAGAAAATGCAAGAAGCTGAGATGCCTATTTTTCTTTGAGAGTGAAGAAGGCAAGCTAATAAAACTGAACTTAAAATGGATAAAGTCTGTAAACTTGAAGAAAAGTCACAGTTTTGAATTGCTGTAAATGTGTTGTGCCAACAGAAACTGGCACAGTTGGAAGCAGAGGAGGCTGTACGTGAGGAGGCAGGCTACTATGCAATTCCAAAGATTGAGATGGATGACACCCTAAAAGAGATTCGGGAGCTTGCCCATCAGATCAGAGACAAGAAGATCATCATGAGACAGGAACGGGCCATCCAGAAGAACTCCACCAAACCTGTAGTACCTCGCACAGCTCCTGCCAAGGTTCGTGACCGTAGTGTGTCACGCTTGCGCTCTGAGATGGAAGAACTTGGGGTGGATATGTCTGAGACCAGTGATGTGAGTATTGGCTCCCTTTGTAAGAGTTGAGGTTTTTACAGCAGTGACTATGAAGAGAGCAGTTTTCTGGGATGTGGCGCCGTGTAGATATTGTGTTAACCGACGTTTCGGAGGAACGTATCGTCTCCATCTTCAGGGATTTTCTTCTTTTTTCTTCAGCCCTGAAGGTGGAGCTAATAAGTTCCTCCAAAACGTCAGTTAACACAATATCTACACGGCGCCACGTCGCAGAAGACTGCTTTCTTCATTGGCTCCCTTTGCTTTGCTGCAGCATGTTTGAAAATATAGTGGAATGATTATTGAATATTATGCTTTATGGAAGCTGACAAAAAACCATTGGAACCTTAACATTGTAATATATATATATATATGGGAAAACCTTCACATGAAATTAAGGTATTTTTCTAACAGTTTTGTCATTGCACGTGATTCCTAATTAGTCACCATTAATCACCTGTAACTTCTTGCTTCAACTGTACTTTTACTTTTTATCTGGAGTTATTTATGGCTTGCAGGCTGTAAAGGACCTGTTAACCCACTATCTCTGTCCTACCCTTGTCTAGGAGCAAGTTTATGTTTCACAAACCGAGAGCAGCTTACTTCCTCCAAGTATAAACCATTGAGAAATGTACATCTCATGAGATCCTGTGAATTTGTCTTGAGCCCAGTAACTTGTTTCATTATGGGCTGGTAGGGCTGGAACTGGTTCCTGTTTCTTCAGTGGACCTGTTATTGCTGTATCTTATACAGAAATATTAAGAGGCATGGTAAATACCACAACCTAGAGACAGAACTCATGGAAGATGTGGGGCTGCAGCATGATGGAATGCCTGAACATTATCCAGGCCACTGAATTGTCTGTGGTTCACCAACGTCTGCGCCATTATCATGCCCCACACTGAGCCACCAAGACAGAGGACCTCCCCTTGTTGGCTGTCCATGAAGTTTATTCAGTGTATTTACAGGTACTCTTCATATATGGAGGTCATTTCCTCTATCCACAATATGAAGACCATGCCATGGTGACCAGTGACCAACTTAATATGGTTTTTATGAGTTTTATACTGGATCATCCCACAAATAGTTACAGTTATAATAAAATATTTCTTAATATAGATAGTTAAACTGTTTCTAAATAAATTAATGGAATTACATAATACCAGATTAATTTCTGATAATAGTTAATGACATATGAAATAGTGATTGTGTGGGAGAGTGAGAACATAAATATTATCTTTAGTTTCGGTCATAGTTGCATTAAGGTATGAATTCTGGATGTTTGAAAATTTCTTACATTAACCCTTCCGCGACGGATAGTACAGTAAAACTTGGTTATAGCAACATCGGTTTCTGTGACACCTTGTCTATTGCGTCAAATATTCAATGGTACGAACTAATTCCTCATAAAGCAACTGTTTTTATACCTTGCTTAGTACGACATGCACAAATGCATCAACCTCGTATGTAACGTCATTTTCATTCCTGAATTTCTCTGATATCGTGGGAAAGTTCGATGTGTCTGCCCACCCTCACTTTC